CATTCATGGATGAATTTTTGCAAGTCTAACGAACCCTGAAATTGTAATCAAAGTTTTACATTGTTTTCAGCATCTGTATACTGTTTTCTGGGGAAGTGGTGGCAAGGCTTACCAAATGGGTTATCAAGGATCCTCAAATGGATTTTGACTTGAAAATACAGTTAAGAAATTTGCCTTAGAGCAGTGGTTCTCAAAGTGTGATCTCTGAACTGGCAGACTCAGCATCTCCTGGGAGCTTGCTAGGAATGCATATTCCCAGGTCCAGCCAAGACCTCCTGAACCAGAAACTCCAAGGGTGGGGCCAGAAATCTGTGTTATTGAGTATTCTAGGTGCTTCTGATATGTGCTCAAGTTTGAGAACCACTGCCCTAGCACAAACGGTAAGCATGAGTGATGTGGCATTAGGGTGTGTTCCCTGGCCTAAATAGGACTTTCACAGTAGATATGGTATCAAGGAAGGTAGAAAAAAATCTTGGAAGCCTGAGATCCTCTTTGGGTACTCTCAGGAAGGGAACACTGAGACATAGCTTCGAACTTGGCCAATATTTTGGACAAGGCATTCCCTGAGGGCTCGTGTGGTGGTAAAAACAGGCATTTCTGGGAGTTACTGGGCTCAGGACTTGCAGCTGAGAAGGTCTACCCTGTGGACCTGTGCACCAGACCCATAATACCTGGGGTGCTGCCCTCCTCCTCTCCGATACCGTTTCTCCTATGGCTGCAGATTAGGTATCTCATTTCATCCAAGGTACACAGACCTCTAATGACATTTTAGCAGAGGATAACCTGTCTGGGCTTCTGAGGCATTTAGTATCCAGTGACACCATAACTGCTCACCGGGAGGTGCCAGGGCCTCTGGTCCACACCTTGCTCAGTTGACACAACACCTGTGTAACTTGTGCAGGATTCATGCTGGCAAAGCCAATTACTTTCTACATCTTTTTGGAGACACAAAAAAGTCCAGAAACAACCTGCAGTGCCAAATGATGGAAATGGCAGGGATTCCTGTACCCAACTCCCTTGCTGCCCCTCTCCCCCGAACCGCAGGCCTGGCTCCTCCTTTCTGCTAAGTCACAAAGCTGGAAAGCTCTTAGGGTAGGGAGAGAGCAAGTGCCTGCTGGTTGGCTCAGAAAGATTCTGGGAATTCATTATGATCAAAACAACTATTCCAGTTATTCATGTGACTCAGCCCCTGAAAGCGGGATCTTCCTATGTCCACAGGGCCGGGTGTTGCTGACTCAGTGCTGAAGAGGGCACCTTGTGAGCCCTCCTGGGCTCCCCACCGCCTCTCTCCTTCATCCCAGGGGACACCAAAGGGAAGCAGAGTGGGGCTGAGCTTCACAGGAGTGTTCAGTTACATTTCTAAAGAAGCAGCCAACCTCCTCCCATTACAGCTCTCACTGCATACATCTGTCAGTCTTCGGGCATTCTGGAGGGGAAATTATCAGAAATAGTCACGCAAACATCATCTACATACATTTGCATTTAGCACATGTTTCCCCAACACCTAATATGTGTTTGGGTAATGGCTAAGGGCGGAGGTCCAGAGAGATGTGGCTGTATCTGCCCATACCATTCAGAGGTCTGCCAGGGGAAAATGCATTAACGACGTTGAGGAAATAATGGAAAAAGCACTCGAACAGGGCTAGAGAGAGCTTTGAGAATGCCGAGGAATGAGTGGCACCCATTTCGAGGTACATGGAATTCCTCTCTAACACGCAGCAAAATTCAGAGTGTGGGTCAGAATTACTTTTGTCTCTGGGAGCCACAGAGAGAAGAAAATGCCAGGAACCAACATGGTACAAGAGAAGGACTTTCTGGATGTAAGGAGGCTGAAGAAGGAGACGAACGGGTAGGGAGACTCAAGCGGCAAGTTTTACAGTTTTGCCAAAGGGCCTTTTCTTAACTTGAACTTGTTACTAGCTACCAGGCAGGATGGTGCAATTTAATCCCCAAAATAGTAAATAATCTGCTTGAACTTTTCTTCTTCGAGGAAGAAAAGGAGGAGGAGAAAAGAAAGATCACATGCTGCTGGATGGAAATGAAAGAAAAACTAAAGGCACTAACATAGGCGTCTGCCATGTATAAAAGCTGCTAAAGATGCTAACCTTTATATGTATAGTATCATAGCTTATTAAATACTAACAGAACACACACACATGAACAGTAGGTATTGCTGCACAGAGGGGTTAAGTAACATGTCTGAGGGTAGCTGGGCTGAGATTAGGACATGTGCTCTTGCTGCTTATAAACTAACTGTGCATGTAGGTATCTAATGGAAAGTGTTGCTCAGATCCCCATTTTACAGATGGGAAAACTGAGGCATGGGGAAGCTAACTAACCTCTCCAAGGTCATATGAGTACTAAGCGAGGTAGTAGGACTTCAGACCCCAGTCTGTTTGAATTCAATTTTCTGGGCCGTTTCACCACACCACCCTGCTTTTTTTTTTCCCATTTTGAGACCAGATTTTATCTCTCTTTAGTATCTAATGTCTGAACTTCTATAAAAATGGAACCTGATATCATTGTCCTCCAGGATTATGATTATCTTCTGTAATGTTAGAATTAAAATACTCAATCATACCACCAAACATACTTTCTTATTCATTTCTTCATTTATTCAATAAATTTATATTGAATATTCATCTACTTGTGCCAGACACAATGTCCTGAGGGTAAAGCAATGAAGAAGTCAGCCATGGTCCTTTCTTCTCCTAGAGCTTTCAGTATAGCACAGAGAGGAAAATATGAAATATGACTTATTCAACAGTTAGTTTATTCCAATCGTAGTAAATGGTGTCATAATGATAGCTAACACTTCAACGGAACTTACTTTGTGCCAGGAATTATTCTAAGTATATTAATAGAGTTTAATTAATTTAGGTCTCCCAGGCCAATGAGGAAAGTGAAGAAATCAATGAAGGCTTCCTGAAGGAAGTATCAGCTGATTCTGGAAACAGGAGGAGTTAGTTATGTTGAGAATGGGAAAGGCAGGGAAAACCAGTAGTCTAAGATGGTGCTGTCCAGGTAGTCACTAGTCACCTGAAACTCTAAAGTACTTGAAATGAAGCTAGTCTGAACTGAAGTGTGCTATAAGTGTAAAATATACCCCGGGTTTCAAAGACTTAGTCTAGAAAAAGATAATGTAAAATATCTCAATTTTGTATTGATTACATGTTGACATGACGCTATTTTGATCCATTGGATTAAATCAAATATATTATTTAAATGAATTTTTTCTTTCTTTTTACTTTTTTTTAATGTGGCCATTAGAAAATTTCAAATTACATGCATAGCTCCCATTATATTTTGATTGGATAGTGCTGCTGTAGAAGGCTGAGGAGCCTCAGGGAGCAAGTGCTTCAAGGAAACTAGTGCCTGGAGGAGGCTGGAGAATGTTGGAGAAGAGAAAGGAGGATGCCGAGACAAATGTGAACTGCTAGCCTTTTATCCTGCAGGTTAGGAAGAGTAATTACAACCTTTGTAAGCCCCAAATCTGAAACACTGGAGCTGACTGACTTACTGGAAGTGCCTCTTTCTCAGAACCAGCTCCAACTGTGAGTCAAATTACTGCTATTCTTAAGACTGGTATTGTATATGGAAGAGGCAAGAACAGTCAGAGCGAAAAAGTAAAGTGGAGAAACATCTAGGATAAAAGTCAAATCCCTATGAATGGCCCACCCAGCCCTGTAACATCTCCCTGCCTGCCCCTTACCTCTCTGCTGTCATCTCCTACTCAGCTCTTCCCGCACCCAACATCCAGCCCAGTTACACTGACCTTTGTTGGACCTCAAACACACCAAGCATGCTCCTGCCTCAGGACCTTTGCACTGGCGGTTCCTTTTATCTGAAAATGCTCCTCTCATCTATCACATGGCTAACTACCTTAACTCGTGGTTCAAATGTCACCTTCCCAACAAGGTCTACCCTGACCATTCATGTTTAAAATTGCACCCGTGGGCACTCCCTTACATTACTCTGTTTTTTTTTTCTCCCGTAACATATATTACCTTCCAACATACTCAATACTTTACTCTACACTGTATTTACTGTTAATCTTCCTACTAGAAAGCATTTTCCCTAAAGCCATTGACCTCAGTTGTATTTCCTTTGTCATCCCCAACATCCAGACAGTGCCTGGCATGGAGCAGATGTTTAATAAACTTTTTTTTTTGGAGCAAATGAGTGTCAGTGGCACTGCTTAGGGCACAGCTGGTGGATGGATAGGCACCCTCCATGCACTCTCTCCTCTCCTGAAGAAAAGGACTTTTTTCCTCCCTTTCCTGCAGTGGAACTCTATTAACCTTGCTCTCCACATAGGTTTTACTAATCAGGGTTCTGCCCTGTTCTGTATCCCACACATAGATTTCCCAAGAGAATGGAGGAAGCAGCTGACGCTGCAGGACAGCCTCTTCAGCTGGGAGCTGGGATTCCCGGGTGCCCTCCTCCCTACCTGGTTCCTCTGCTGATCAAGGGGCCCAGGCTCGGTGGGAGGCTGAATAAGGTACTTAGCAGATTGAGGAGGAACACAAGGAAGGCCGTTATTCCATACAGGGCAGTGGTTCTCACGATTTGCCCCACCCTTCATGCATAGGCATTACCCGGGAATTTACCAGAAATACATAGTCTCAGTTCTCACCCTAAACCGCTGAATCAGACACGGGGCTGGGGGCAGTGGAGCAGGAAACAATGGGGTTAATAATAATTAAATCATCGACTTAAATCGTTCAGTTAAAATCAATCAACACAGCCTCCAGGCGATTCTGATGCACTCAAGTGTGAGAACCCCTGAGCTGGGGGAAAGGAAGGACTTTGTTAGAGCCTTGAAGACAGGGAGGGACTTAAAAGGTCAGGCCAGCGGACACGTCCCCAGGGCGGGCTAGCACCGGGTGGGTTCCCTGCGTCAGAGGCCGCACAGGGTGGTCTGACCTGGGAAGTTAAAGGCCATCGTTTTCAGGTCTTCCACCCCCACCCCAGGAAAGTCCCCGCGGCGAGGCCGTGACCTTCCGCCGCCACGTCCCACTGGGGGCGGCCTGGGGCCCCGGGCGGAGGCGCCGAGCTCAGGATGCCTCCCGCTTCCTCGCCGGGTTCCCTGGCTGCGCCCAGGCTCCTGGGGCCCCGCGCTGGGCTCCAGCCCGGGATGGTCCCTCCCTCTGCCCCACGGCGCCAGTCTCTGCCTTTGGCTGCCGCCTCTGTCTTTGTTGGAGTTCCGTCTCTGATTTTCGCTCTTCATCTCTCTCTCTTTCCCCTTCCCGATTTGTTCGCCCCGCCCCCTTTTCCTTTTTCACTCTCATCCAGTGTTTTTCACCAAAAGTTAAGCACCTGGATGGTCCTAGGCTCTGGGCAGTGAGTCGTGAAAACACCGGAACCTGCCATCAGGGAGCGTCTGGGTCTTTGAACCCTTGTCTCCTACCTCGGTCGTCGCTGCTCCCTCCGCCCCTCCTTTCCCCTCCCCTCCCAGCAACTGTTGTTCTTCCCTCCACCTCCCCTTGTTGAAGCTAAAGGAACTTTTCGCCTGGCAGGTCCCATGGTAAGATTAAAAAGCCTACTTTTATCTGACTAGCCGAAAGTTGCCATTAAAATGTCCATCGTACCTTGATGAATGACACCAGTTTCAGCTATTATCACCTATTGGCACCTCAACCAAAATTAGCTTATTAGAGGTCACCAAGCTGAGAGAAACTAGTACTTACCTATGTTGGCCTGTGTGTAAGACACTCATTTATTCAAGAAAATGTATGCATTCATTCCATGATTTATTGAGGACCTAGGATGTGGCAGATTCTTCAGGATGTGCACTGCCCAATAGTTGGTGTTTTCATAGCACTCTGAAGAAATTAAAGCAATGACACATGATGACCGCACAGTACCCCATTTAACCCCTTCAATCCCCCTTCAAGGTGAATAAGATTATATGACAATTTGATAGATATGAAAAGTGAGGCTGAGAGACCATAAGCTGTATGGCCAAGATTTAACCCCCAGTTAGACTTGACTCCCAAGCTGGTTCCCATTAACCTATAGGGCCAGGTTGAAGGCAAGGCTACCCCAAAGAAGAGGGAGGTGGGGAAATATCTGTAGAATGGCTTTGGAGTTAAAACTTTTGAGTACTACACTAAATGCTGGGTGATGCTATGTGTTATTGATGAAGTTTCATGACCTCTCTGGGCCCACCTCAGAGGCTACAAAGACCTCCTCCAGGTGTAACATGTAGGTTAAGTATATAGGCTCTGGAGCCAGACTAACTGGGCTGGAAGCCTGCTTCCTCTACTGACTTGCTGTGTGATCTTAGACAAGTCACTTAAGCTCTCTGGGCCTCAATTTTTTCATCTGAAAGCCTGCTGTAATGATGACCACCTCGCTGGGCAGATGACAGGATGAATGGTTTCTGTTAAGGGTTAGGAAGGGTATCCAGCACAAAGTAAGCACCCAGTGAATGTAGCTGGTTCTTCTGTTATCCCAGCTCTGTCCTGCAGACTTCTCCTCTGAGGCCAGGGACATGTTGTCCTAAAGCCCAGGCCTGTCTTATGCCTGGCTCCTGCCCAGTCTAAGCCCTTTCTTTTCCAGAGCAATGAAAGTTGTGATCTCTAATCCTGATGGTGAAGGCACCAGGAATATCTCAGGAGTCTTGGAACCCAGTGGATTTTCAGTCAAGGTCTTTTCAACTGGCTCACCCACAAAGGAGAGAGCTTTGTATAGAACAGTTAGAAACGTTTCATTTTCAAATGTACCTGATTTCACTTTTTTTTTTGCAAAGCTCAAAGCATTTTTCCTTTAGTCCAGGTGGCCTAGACAAAAGTCCAGAGTTGGGGAGGACAGTATTACATGGTGTTAAGGAGTAGGGGCTTATGTGTTGTTTAGTTGATCATCCTAGCTGGGGGACCTTAACTGTTTTGTGTTTCAGTTTTCTTTATTTTAAAATGAGCTTAACAGCAGCATCTATCTCATGGCATATTTGTAGACGTGAAATGAAAAACTGCATATCAGCCTTGAACACAGGGGCTAGTACATGGTAATCATAGGACAGATTGTGGCTATTACATTAACAGACCTCATGGATTTTGTACTTTGGCATTAGAAAGACCTGTGTTTACGTCTTTAGCTCTATCGCCTGCAAGCTATGTGACCTTAGGTAAATCAATGACTATCTCTGAACCTTAGGTTTTTCATATGAAAAATGGAAACAGAAGTATGAGATATACAACTTGCCACAGAGGGTCTTCCTAGCTGTCAAATAAGGTTCGGTTCATTTACATGGTTGGCGACCATGAAGCTCTGTGCCTGTGTTGATTATTCTTGATAGTTCTGTTTCTCTCAAGTCTATATATCCAGTCCTTTGCAGATCTGAGTTGCCTCACCTCTGCCTTTGTAGCAGAAAACACAGAGAACTCAACTGTATTTATCTTTTTACCGGCGCTCAGCAAAGTGTTTTTCGTGCCAGCAGTGCCCAGATGGCTCAAGTTAGGCGTCAGAGGCTCTAGTTTGATCTGTGTCATGTGCTGGTGGTGTAACCTTAGACCAGTCATTTAATTTCTCTGACCTGTTTCATTAGCTCCAAAGTAGAAATTTACTCCGTATTTGACTAGCCTACTTGTTGGACTTGTTCAGGATGATCAGAAGAGTTAGAGATGTGGGTTGAACACCAAGAATCTTCACCCAAGTATGAGGGAACATTCCCAAGCATTTTCCCCATATGTAGCTTGTCTTCCCCAGACTAATACAACTAGTCAATGTGAGAGTCAGGATTGGAACCCATCCACCTTTCACCTTTCTATCCATTATCTATCCATATTAGCTATATACTCAGCTGCTCACACACCCACCAACCACCTTTCCATCCATCCACCCATCCATCCATTCATCCGTCCATCCATTTATCCACCAAAGCACTCAGTTAGCATTCACTATATTCCTACAACTCTCCAGTCACTATGTGAAATACAGGCTTTAACAAGAAGAGCTGGTCCCCTTTCCATGCAGTTTGTAATCTACCTGGGGAAATTAGATAACTGAACCACAGTTTGTGGCAAAGGATAGTGTATATACTATGGGTGCCATGGCAGGTTTTTAAATTAGAGTCCATGGGTGAGAGTCAGGGATCTGTGAACGCCAAAAAATTGCAAGCAAAATCCTGTGGGTAAGAAGGTGTCTATCTACAGACACGTGTATTTTAAGGGATGAGGCTCCATGGGTTTCATTACATCCTCAAAGGGGGCTTGTTCCTGGACATGAGGGGCAGATAGCCCTAGTTGAGGGCCTTGAAGTGGAGGAAAAATGAAATAAATGTTTATGATGTCAGACGCACTGGGTTATGGACTGAATGTTTGTGTCCCCTTAAATTCATATGTTGAAGCCCTAACCTCCAACGTGATGGCATTACGAGGTAGGGTCTCTGGCAGGTAACTGAGTTTAGATGAGGTTGTGAGAATGGAGCCCCCATGATGGAATTAGCAACCTCAAGAGGAGAAGGAGGTATCAGAGGTTCCTCCCTCTGCCACATGAAGATACAGCAAGAAAGCAGCCATTTACAACAAAGAAGAGGGTCCTCACCAGACCTGACCACATACATACGCACCCTGATCACAGACTTACAAGCCTCTGGAACTCTGAGAAATAGATGTCTGGTTTTAAAAGCCATCCAGTCTTTGGTATTACATTATAGTAGCCTGAGCTGATTAAGACACTATATGCCAGGCACCACTTATTCTGGTTTTGTAACCTGGGATATATCCTTGTTTGGAGTATCAGAATGGGAGGGAAATAAGGCAGAGGAAATTAGCCTTTCCTGAGCACAGGCTAGGCAGTGTCTTCTAATTTAATGCTTACAGCAACCTTTCAAAATAGGTGTGCATCCCTGTTTTACAGATAAGGAGGCTCAAAGAGGTAAAGCAAGGACCACAGTCACACGGTCATAAGGGGTAGAGTGAGAATTTGAGTCCAGGTCACTGGGTTCTAGGATCCCTCCCCAGGCTTGCCTGTGGATCAGGCATGACACTGAGTGGGTGAGTGCTTTAGAGCTGTAGGATACCGCTCAGGGTAACAGATGTTGTCTGTGCTCAGAGGATGTTAAAAGAATTTTACAAGCCAAAGGAATTACTGTCATTAAATTTTCAACAACCTTTTCCTGCGGATTCTGCCCGTGTAAAAGGTCAGCGAGTGTTGGTTCTCACCCAGGGAGTGTTATCACAGCAGTTTCCAGGAACGAGGCTGGGCATGGGGCAGTCACTCAGCAAGCACTTGTGGGTAGATCTGTTGGCAAAAAAGTACCCTCAGCCCCCAGCCAAACTCTATACCCCACCTCTGCTTGGGGAGGGCAGCACCCCACTCCATCACAGCTGCAGAATAGGTGTCACCTCCCAACTGCCCCAATGCCTGGAACTAGATGCCTGCCTTGCCGGTAGAATAGACAGTCTCTCCTGTCCAGAGCTTTCTGAAACTTCAAGAAAGTGTGTGTCCAGGCCAGCCACCCACCTGGACTCTTCCCAAGCTGCCTTCCCACCACTCCCTCCCCTCACGGCTGGAGTTCAAACCCAGGTAGAAAGTCACTGGACTTCTTGCAAAAGGAGATTGACTAAAGCACCTCTAAGTTCCCTTCCGGTCGTGTAAAACTGGGATGAATTAAGGGAGAAAACGTTTCCTCAACTGAAATTGTTTCCTCCTTGAAAGCAAGGACCATACAGTTTGTTGATTTGGCCTCATGACTAGAGTCCCCCTTCCCCTCCTCTCCATTTCCTCAGCGAGCACCCTAGCCTAGGACACCAGCCCCCTTGCCCTGAATCTCCCTACAGCTTCCTAAGGGTCTCCCTGCACCTAGCTTGTCCCGTTCCAGCCAGACTGGTCTTTCTGAATTGATCACAGTAGATCTCTGGCCTTGTTATAATTCAGTTGCTCTCCTTGATGGCATAGAAGACCAAACGTTTCACCGTTTCACCTTCCTAACTTAATCTCTTCACACGCTGTGCCTTTGCCCCTGTGCTCTGACCACCCCAGCATTGCCCCCACCCACCTCATGTTCCCATGGGCTGTTTTCCCTGCTCCTAGTACCCCCAGGTTCCCCGATGAACTCCTCTTCAGCCCCCAGTCTCAGCCACTAACACAGAGGACCAACCCTTCCCTTGAACCCCCGAATCTCACGTAGGTGGTCTTCTCCGTGCTCCTGCAGCCCCCGCAGCCTTCTTTACTCTGGATTGTGATTTTTCTGGTACATTTTCTGTTTCTCCCACCAGTGGTAAGCTCCAGGCGGGTCCATCTGTGTTTGCTTGTTTATCACATCCTCAGCATCCAGTCCACAAGGCCTAAGACCCTCAATCTTAAGAGGTGTTTGGTGAACACATTTGCGTTGCATAGAGCAGGGCTCTGCTGGGAGGCAAGGTCAAATTCCTTGCCCTGGAGCTGGAGAGTCCTCGCCACAGAGGGCCCCAAATGTGGAAACCATTAGTGCGCCCTCCCCCTGCCCTTAACTGAATTTGCTCTGAAGAGGCAGGAGCCTTTGGAAGCACCTGAATCTGATTACAGAGCTTGGAACCAAAACCAGGCATAATTGGGCCACCTCAGCCACCCCCACCATCCATTTTTAGCCAGATGACCAGCATCCTGCCCCCTCAGGCACCCTGCGGGCCTCTCTGCCAGCATGCTCTGGCCGTGACAGCCCTGCCACCACTGAATGGGCAGCTGCAGTCACATCAGAGAGGGTGAGGCAGAGACACTCATTTCAACTCTGACATTCAGTCCGTCTCTTGTGACTCAGGTTGCCACTTACCCCTGGGGCTTCAGGATGCAAGCAGGGATAACCCTGTCATTAGATATCTGTGACATGGGAAAAGGTCAGGCAAGTGGGCGGGGCTGCTGAGTCACCAGGCATGAGCGTGAATCCCTGCAGCCCTGCTGTCGTGGCCTGCACATTTCAAGGGGCACCTGTCCGCTTTTGGAAGCTGGTTTGATTCCTGGGATGGATTCAGTGCAGGACACGCAGGGGAGAATGTCCCTTGTCTGTCTCTGTAAAGGGAGATGATGTAACGTGGTTCGGGGGAGAGCAGGCTTTAGAGTCACACACACTTGGACTGGAATCCCAACTCCCCAGTTTACCAGTCATGGCCCCCAAAGCCAGCTACTTAACTTCCCTGACTCTGAGCTCTTCATTTATACAGAAGCCATCATATTACCTAATGCACAGGGTTGCTGGGAGAATACATGAGGTGAAGGGTGTAAGAAGCTTAGCAGAGAGCTTGGCAAATGGTAAACAGTCCATGAAAGGTAGGTACTATTATTTGGGCACGCCGACCTCTCAGTGGATACTTGATCCCTGGGGAACATGACATCTCCCATGGTCCCAGGGCTCTGGCCCCCAACTTCCCACACCCACAGTCACAGAGTCCGGGCTTGGGGCAATTTAGCTAAAATGGGGGTGAGCCAGGAAGAAATGAAAAGGAAGTAAAAGGCTAGGGGCATTATTTAAATTTTACTATCTCAAATGGACAAATCATTCCCTTATGGTTGTGTTGGTCCCAGTGGAAACCAGGGGCCACAAAGGCAGCCCAGCGAGCAGGGTCTGACCAGGGCAGGCTCTTTGCCCTAGACAGCTACAGAAGACAGAGTTTGTTCCCTGAGACCTCTGACATACACACACTCCTTACCATTCATTGAATTCACTAAGGTTGTGCCCTTGGGCTCTTGGCTCAATATCCTCTACCCCCTTCAGCCAATACTTCTACTCCTCCAAGTAGAGGGAAAACATCAAAGGGATCTTTGGACCACACGGAGAAGGCTGAGCATGCTCAGTGTCACTTGGCAAACCGTTTAACCTCCCTTGTAACCTAGCTATCTTTAGCCTCCTTGATGCTATTTTGAAATGTCAGACAAGCAAATACTGCTTCCAGAATGGCTCTGATCTGGGATGTGACAGGATGCTTGCTTGAGGGTGGGGAGACAAGTGAGAGGTGGGGGTGATAATGGAGCCTTCTGGGAGAGGGTGAGATAACGCACCAGATTCACAGCTGCCCAGATTCTCTCCCTCCTACTGGCTCAGCCGCCTCCTCCTGGAAGCCAGCCCGTTTAAGGGGCAGTAGGGCATTGAGTCCCACCTGAGCCTAAATGAGAGGGTTGTCTGCTTATCTGACTCTGGAGCCAGAGCTGGACATCACATTAGCCAAAAGAGCAAACTGACTCTTGAGTGCCCAGTCCAGTCTAAAAATATTTATTCAATCGCTCACTTCATTCATTCATTCATTCAGCAGGTATTTACTGAGTAGTGACCATGTGCCAGGCATGACTAGGCACTGGGGATACAATAGCTTGATACCCATTGGAGTCATGGTGAGGGCAATAAAATGCAGCTTCTGTAGCTCCATTCCCAAGAGTTAATGCAGGAGGTTTGATGCAGACCTGGGAGTCTGTATTTTGAACAAGCTCCCATGCAGTCTGCTGCAGGTAGTCTCGGCTATGAGAACCCCTAGTCTACTTGTAGCAACAGCTAGATCCTAAGCACCTCCCCAGTACTGAAACCTGGGAGCATTGAAATACGTGTTACAGCCCCAGACCTTGAAGAACTCACCATTCCCAGTTTCCAGAAGGAGATAGACAGTGCCATTTCATGGTGCTCAGGGCCCCGAAAGCAGAGATACACAGTGGGGTTAGACCCCTGGAGGAGATAACTCACCCTCAGACTCAGAGAGCTGTGGGGGAGGCTCTATAAAGGAGGTAATATCTGAGCTGGGTCTTGAAGCGTGAGAAGAGTTTTTCAGATGAAAAAATAGTGGATACAGATGATACTTTCCAAAGATGGACTCACCAAGACACATTTCCCACCCCACGTGCTCCTCTCACAGTGGGGGTGGTACATCTCACACAGAGAAGTGGGTGGACCTGTGCTCCCTGCTCTTGAATCTGGATGGGTGCTGTGACTACTCCACCCACAGAGTGGGAGGCATGTGTCTTCTGAGGTTAGGTCACCACAAGACGGTACACCTCTGCTTGGTTCTCTCTTGGGATACGTGCCTCAGGAGTTCTGAGCTGCCTTGTAAGAAGTCTGGCTACCCTGAAGCTGCCATGCTGTAGACACCACGTGGAAAAGCCACATACTGTGGAGGGAGATGCCCAAAGAGCCCACCTGTGCAAAATTCCAGCCCCTAGCCTTCGGGGCACCCAGCTGACAGAGTGGAACAGACTCGAACTGTTCCTTCTTGGCCAGCCTAAATTGCAGATTCAGGGGCAAAATAAATATTTTTGTGCTTTTAAACCATTATGTTTAGGGGTGCTTTGTCACACAGCACTAGGTGCCTGAAACAGGCTGTGAGGGCTTCAGGAAGAGGACACGAATAGCAAGTACCAAGGTCCTGAGGGGTGAAAGAGCACCTAAACTATTTTTGAAATTTGAAGAGAGTCAATATCCTCATGCAGAATTTCGAGGTCTTGATTTGCCACAGACCGTCATGTGCGACGAAGCCACCTGTGTGTATGTTCAGGTGGTGAGGTCTAAGCTCTTTCCCCACGTGATCCACAAATTTGGTAATCCGAAATTGGCATAAAGGGTTTTAACGGTCTTTGTTGTGATGTAATTTTAAGGATGTTGGTGGTACCTTCTGGTCTTAGGAAAAGATACATTGGATGCTAAAACTGAAGTAATACAGGTTTCATTTAATCTAACTGCCTCTCAGACCTTACCTTGCTGAGTACAATGCCTGGCACATAGTAGGCCATCAACTAATGTTGATTATTTGAAGGAGGCTGGTATGTGAGTACAGCATCAGAACCAGGGCCTGCATCCCTGACTCATGGGATCACAAAATCTTGGGCACAGAAGACATCTTCACAGGTCACCCTCCCAACAAGCCTGCTAATATCAAGGACTCAGAAACACATACCTGCCTATTATGAAGTTCTTTCTTCGACTGGGTCCAAATCTTCTTCCCTGTGAGGCAGATAAAGCAGGTAATATACCATTCAGTTTACAGGTGAGGAGACTGAGGCTTAGAGAAACCACACAGCTTCTGTGTGATACCAGCAAGACCGGACCCCCCATGGCTTAACTGAGTTTGATGCCTTCTCACTCCCACAGTCTGTAAACCCCACAAACAAACCAGGAGTCCTTCACCACCTCTGCACCTTCCGCACTATTTCCTCCACCTGAAATGCTCTCCCCATCCTATTTGTCTGAATCTTTCTCTTGGAAATCTGTATTTCAGATCTAACTCCCTTGGGAAGTCACTCTCTGTCTACACAGCCAGCAGGGGTCTGCAGTAATTCTCACCTCCCTGTGGGTCTTCGCTTCCTGACTACTTCCCTGTGGACACTGTTGGCTTTGCCATCTCCCCCAGTTACACAGGATGACAACTGTAACAACAATAGTAATTGTAAATTACTAAGTTTCCTTTTAAAAGATTTACCTCTTTTTTTGTCCGTTGGACAGAATATAAAGTTGATTATTAGTATACTGCTTAGAAAAATGTGAGTACTCAGTACGTTCCTTGCTAAGTTTTCTTTTTGGGGTAGTCTACCAGTACGTCCTTATGGAGTAGGTTTTCATCAGAGTTTATAATATTTTAAGCCTAACTCTTCAATTTGTTTGCATGTGGTTCCTAAACATAAAGCCAAAAATCCTTAGTTTATTGAACATGTGAAACATGACTGGATTTCTAAAATCTATAAATAAATTAAATTGCTTTCTCCTTGATTTGCTGTTCCTGCTTTCAGACAAAAAATGATAGAGTCTGAAGTTATAGAAGATTTTACCCTAACATAGTATTTTACTAAGAAAAACAAACTTGTGCTGTTCTTTTAACAATATGGATTGTACATTTCCTTTTTTTTTTTGGAATGGTATTGTTTAATCAAACAAGAAAGACAAAAATCAGGCACATGAACTTTTTGGTATTAACATAACAACAGATTCTAACTTTCCCAAGTCTTATTGAAATAGCTCCCTTACTTACTTTATTTAAAAATTTAAAAAACTGAAATATAATTGATGTATACCATTGTATTGCTTTTAGGTGTACAACATAATGATTTGATATATGTATATATTACATTAATTTTCCTTTAATGGATCTATCAACTATCTATCATCTTATTGTCTATCTGTCTCAATCATCTCTCTCTCCTCCTGGCTGAACTCATACTGATACAGTCATCTTTCAGAAGACAGCTACCCCCCACCAGTCTTCCTTCTCAAGTTTTGTAGCCTTGGTTCCAACCATGTTCCCTACACCATGTGGCTTTGAGTCCCTTCACCATGCCAGCCCCCTTCCAAACACGATACATTTCTGTGTCTGTCCCTCTAACAGTTTATCCTTTTAGCAGGTATTTGTTGCATTCCTGTTGCCTGCCAGGGGGCATCTGGGGCCACAATGAGGAGCAAGACTCACCAGTACCGGCATTCCTGATTCTAAGCATGGACTCCTAATCCTAAGTCTGCATTCCTGGGAGGATGTAGACCAGTCCTTCAAACACCAGAGGAGGAAAGCTCTTTAGCTATTCGACTACTAGAACCATAACCC